GGGAAGAAGGGGAGTTTGGGGAGGGGGGATTGGGAAGGGGAGATTGGGGAGGGGGAGGTTTGGGGTTTTTGGGGAGGGAGAGAGGGAAGGTTTGGGGGGGAGGTTTTGGGAGAGGGAGGGGAGATTTGGGGAGGGGAAGTGCAGAGGTTTGAGGTGGGGAGAGGTTTGGGGATGGGGAAAAACGAGGTTTGGGGAAGGGGGAGAGGTGAGATTTGGGGGGGGGAAGAAGGGGAGTTTGGGGAGGGGGGATTGGGAAGGGGAGATTGGGGAGGGGGAGGTTTGGGGAAGGGGAGAGAGAGGTAAGGTTTGGGAAGGGGAAAAGGGGAGGTTGAGAGGGGGAAAGGGAAGGTTTGAGGAGGGGGAGAAGGGAGATTTGGGGAAGGGGGAATTGATGTTTGGGGAGGGGGATTGGAGAGATGTGGTGTTTGGGGAGAGGGGAGACTGGGAAAAGGGAAAAATGAGGTTTGAGGACGGAGAGAGGAGAGATTCGGAGGAGGGAGAAATGAGGTTGGGGAGGGGAGAAGGGAGAGGTTTGGGGAGGGGAAATGTGGGGTTTGGGGAGAGGGGAGAAATGAGACTGGGGAGGGGGAGAGGTTTGGGGAGGGAGAGGAGAGTTTTGGGGACGGAGAAGTGCAGAGGTTTGGGGAGAGGGAGAAGGAAGACTTGTTGGGGGAGGAGAGGTTTGGAGAGGGGGAGAAGTGAGGTTTGGGGAGAGGGGGAAATATGAGAGGGGTGGGGGAGAGAGAAGAGATTTGGGAAGGGGTAGAAATGAGGTCTGGGGGGAGCTGTGGGGGCTCCCTGCCTGTGACAGGCTTATTTCCCTCCCATAAAGTATAACTGGGCATAGAGGAGAAAACAATACCAGTGGGTTTCCTATTCCAGAAAATCCAGAAATAAGTGGGAATTGCCAATAAAAAACCCTACAGAACTGAGCCAGGCCTTTCCTCCCTGTGCTGGAGGAGCTTCCCCTCCTCCCCTCAAAGTTATTATTATTCCAAAGTGAGGCTGAGCTGCGTCTCCCTGGAGACGATGAGCTGCCAATAAAATTCCCTCTATTTTGTGTTTTCTCTCCCTGCTCCCCCAGGAGATGACTCCAGACAGGAGCCCGGACACGTCGGTGCTGGAGCTGGCCGTGAGGCTGAGGAAACAGGCCGAGTCCAGGAAGGTGGTGCTGGCCTGGGGGCTCCTCAACATCTCCGTGGCCGGGCTCATCTACACGGAAATGTGAGTTCCCTCGGCTGGCAAACACCCCCTGCCCGGAATTCCCGCTGAATTCCCACTGAATTCCCGCTGAATTCCCGCTTCTTGTCCTTCCTTGCAGGACTGGGAAGCTCCTGAGCACGTATTACAACATCACCTGCTTCCCTCTGTGGTACATCGGTGAGTCCTTCCCGCATTCCAGGAGGGATTCCGGGCTTTTTTTCCCCCGCTCGTTTTCTCCCCGTTTTAAATTTAAACCCAAGTTTTCTGCGACCTCCCTCAGAACCGCCGGAATTTCATCCCTTTTAACGGCAGAGAAGGAGTTTTAACTGCTTTTTTCCCGTCATGGAAGAGCTTTTTTGGTGCATTAAATCCGATTTAAGGTGTGGATTAAAGGTTTAGAGGTCAAATTTAACTGGTGTGGGTGACATTCAGAGAGGAGACTTTGGGATGTATCCAACGGGATGAGAAGGAATCACAGGCTCCTGAGGTCTCCTGCTGGGAAAATAATCTTAAAATGATGATTTAAAATTAAATCTTCAAATACCCGGGTCGAACCTTAAAAGATCTAAGTTAAAGCTTGAAGTGTTTAAGTCTTAAAATGTTTTAGGTTAATTTTTTAAATACTTAAATCTTAAAATATTTAAATTAAGTCTTAAAATATTTAAATTAAATCTTAAAAATACTTAAATCTTAAAATATTTAAATTAAGTCTTAAAAT